TGAAGTAGTATAAGAGTTAAGTGTGAGTATAAGATAAGTTTATTTATAATATGAAAGGATTAAGACAGGAATATATTAATATAAGGTTATTAAAGTGAGTGAGTATTAAAGTTAAAGGATATTTAATAATAAATGGAATATTTAAGATGAATGATATAATGAAGTGTGATTATAAATAATTGAGTATAAGTGAAGGTGAGTATAAATGAAGGATATAAGATAAGTATATTAAAATGAGTGAAATAATTAAGATGAAAGGGAATAAATTGGAGAGTGAAGGAATGTGTTAGAGAAAGAGAGAGAAAGATATGGGGAGGATATTGGGAGAGGGGAGTGATAGTGTGAGGGGGGAGTGAAATGGTTTTTTATATATTAATTTAAAGAAGATAAGAAGATTGATAATGGTAATTATGGGGTGAAGAAAATAGGGTGAAGGAAGTATATTATATTGTGAGAATTTGAGAAAGAGAAAAAGGAAGATGGTGAGTGAAAGGAAGGAATAAAGAGTAAGTTTGAGGGAAAAAAGATAAGAAAAGAAGATAGATGAAGTTAGGATTAATAGATAATAAAAGAAAAGAGATAAAGATAGAGTATGAGAATAGGAAAGAAGAATAATTTAAGGATGTGTTAGTTAAAGATATGAATGGAAGAAGATAAAAAAGGGGGGGGAAAATTTTTTATGAGATTGGTAAATTATTGAGTTGATAATTGTTTTTTAAAAATAATGAAAAGAAATTTAAAAAGAATGGTTAATTTTTTTTGTTGTTGTGTTTTTATAAGTGAATATTAAGGGAGGGAGTGAGAGTAAGAGGATATGGAAATTGGTTAAGAGTTTATTTGTTGAATTATTTGATGAGGGAGAGGAGGTGATATTTTATTAGTTGAGTTAGAATTATAGTAATATTTTATTTGGGTGGAAGGGATAATAAAAGTTATTGATGATATTTATTTGAATGATTAAAAGTAAGTGTTTTGTATAATGTTATAGAATGTTTTTGATAAGAATATTTATTGAGTTATAATTAGTAAGGTATTATATAGGATAAAAGTATTATTATTTTTGGTGTTTGTTTTTTTTGTTATTGTGTAGTTGTTTTATGTTTAATGTTATATAGTTGTATATTAACTAGATAGAGTATATATTAAAATATTAGAGTATATTAGAATAAGAGTAGATTGTATATTAAAGATAAGAAAGGGTGTTAGATTATAATAAATTTAATTATATTAGAAGAATAGTAGATTATATGTATAAGTATAGTAATTTGATAGTAAAGATGATAAGTTATATTAGAATAAATTAGAGTTATATTAAAGAAGATAGATTTATATTAGAATATGAGTATTGGTTGAAAGTAGAATAAATAGATTTTATAAAGAAATTAGATTGTATATAAAGAATATAAGTGTATATTATGAATATAAGTATGTTTAATTAAAGAAATTATATTTAAATGTATGAAAAATAGCAGAGTTAATTGAAAAAGAAATTGACGTAGTTTATTTAAAGGATGTGGATGATATTTTTTAATGTTAAAAAGGATTTTTGTTAAGAGGAAAAGTTGAATTTAAGGTTGGGAAGGAAATATAGTAAAATATTTGTGAGGTGTTTAGGGGGGTATTGATATTGGAAGAAAAGGATGGACAATATAGGAGTTTGTGTGTTTAATATAGTGTATTTTTATGAGTGTTGGTGTGGTGGATGTGGTGGTGTGGTGGTATGGTGGGTGGTAAAATAGTTATATAAATTGAGGTTTGGGTTTGTAAGGTGGATGGTGGTTTGTGGTTTGGTAAATGTTATATTTGGTTGTTTGTATGGGGGTTATTAGGTTAGAGGTTATTAATATAGGTTGAATATTTTTGTTAGTGGTTTTATTTATTGTTTAGTGATTATGAATGGTGTGGGTTAGAGATATGTGGTGATATTTATTATATTTGTATTTTTTTATTAAAGATATATGAAATGATGAAGATAAATTTATTTGAGGGATTATGATTATTAGGTAGTAAATAAAGGGGGAATTATTTATTATGATTGGTGTTTGTTTTGGTGTTAAAAAAATATTTTTTTGGTGTGATTATGGGTTGATTGGAGAGAAAGGGGGTGGTATAGATGGATAGTTAGGTTGAGAGTTAGGGGGTTGTATTTTGGAGATGTTTGGTAGGGAGGTTATGTTTTATTATGGATGTGTTCGAGAAATTTAAGAGTTATAGTTATCTTTTTTTTTGATTTAAGTTTCTGATATTTTCATTATGATTAAGGAGGTTTGGTAATATGTGTTTAAATGATGGTATTCGTTTATAGTGTAAGATTGTTTTGTATTTTGTATTTCAAAAGATTTGTAAGGGAATGTATTATTTATTTGTTTGAATTATTATGTCTAGGTTATTCTTGATTTGTTATTATGCGAGAATATTACATAAATCTGTTGTATTTTTTGTGTTTGTTTTTTGTTTTTTTTTTTTTTTATTATGTTTTTTATTTAAAATTAAAAATTGATTAATTTTTTTTATATATTAATTAAGAGGTTTACCAATGTTAAGATAAGAGGGGTATTTAAATGGTTGGGGATAATGGTTTTGTTATGTGTTGTGGTTGTATGGTTGGATGTAGATTATTTTATTAAATAAATAAAATAGTATGAATATTCAAGGAAATTCCGTATTAGGAATATCTTATTATATTGAGGTTTAATGAGAAATAGTTAAATTATTTTATGTAAATATATAAAAATATATATATAAATTAAATAGAATAATATATATAAAAATATATATATAAAATTATATATATAATATTTGTATTGAGTGAAATATATATAAAAAATAAGATATTTAGTATAGAATTTGGTAGTGTGGAGATGTATTGTATAATAATAGAAAATAATGTGATGATCCTAGAACAGCTACCAAGATACTGGGGGTTTAATAATGGATGCAGATAAGTAAATTGTCTTATTAACTCGTACATCTATAGAAAATTAGAAAGATGTTGTTTTGAATAAAAATTGTTTTTTATGCAGAGGATTTATTAGTATGTGTGAAACTTAGACGAATTAATTATAAAATATTATCTTTATTAGCTAGAAACAGTATATGCAATAAATTTGATTTTAGAAAAAGTAAAAATATGGTTACTATAAATGAAAATAGTTATATAAAAAATAAAGAAGAGAGGAATTAATTAAATTGAAATGGGGTAGAAAAAATAGAGAAATGAAATAGAAAATATTTTTTTTTTGTTTGTATTTTTGGGTTAGTGTTGGGGTTGTATAATTGTGGGGAATATATTGTTTAATTTAGTATATGGAGAGAGTTTTTGGTTTTTTGTATAGGTTGTATGATTTATATAATATAATTTAAAGGAGAAAGGTGAGGGATTGGGTTATATAGTTTTTTGGTGTGAATTTTTAATAGATTGTTATTTTAATATTATTTGAAAATTGAGTGGGGATATGGGAATGGTGGGGAATTTTTTTATTGTTAGTTATAGTTATTGTGTGGTTATCTTTTTATTAGATAGTAATTATATTTTGAGATTATTTATATTAATATATTAAAAATAATGTATTATTTAATACTTGTTTATTTTTAAGTACCAGATACAATAAAAAACAAAATGTTATATGAAATATTTGGTTAACACATAAATAGAATGTAATGTATTATATTATCTTTATCTATAATTTAAATTGTTAATATTTGATTTTTTGAAATTGGAGATAACTTTTTAATCATACATTCTTGTATTTTTAAATATTAATAAAATTTAAGTTTAAATGGTAATTAGGAGTTTAGAAATTTACTTAAATAAAAAATAAATTATATATTATATGTTAAGTACGATAGAGTCATGTAACTAGAAAAGGTTTGTTATATATTAAGAGAATCTTAAATATTCAAAAGGTAATAAAGGGACTATGAATTATAATAAGTATGATGATAGAATGAAAAAATGAAGTGGATCTTTATAGATTTATTTGTATTATTACTGTTGTTTATTTTTATAATTATAGTAGTTATAATTATAGTAATTTTAATAGAGGTGATAATACAAAATTATAAAAATGGTTTTAAAGGTAAGAATTGTTGGTGTAATGGAGGATTTGTGTTTATTGTGGTATTTTGTGGTTGGTGGATTGGGAAATAATGAAGAAAAATGAAGTTAGGTCAATTATAGATGTGGAAGATAATGTAGTTGTTTTTGTGATGTGATGTGAAAGTTGTTTATTGGTGTATAGAGTAATGTTGTGGTTAGTTTGGGGAATGTTTAATATTTAATAGGTAATTAGTTTATGGTTATTAGGGATTGATGAGATTTTGAGTTAGAGAAGATTTGGTTATGAGAGGATAGTGGTGTTATAATGGGTTTTTAAAAGGATATATTATTAGTTGAGAGATAGATGTGTAGGGAGGTGGTTGATGTGGTGAAAGGGTGGGTTGAGGTTGAGGGGTGGTTTGGGATTGGGTTTTAATTTATGTTTTAAGGGTTAATGGTATAAGATGAGAATGGGTTATTTTTATGTTTGAATTGTTTGGTTTGAATTAGAATGGGAGAAGAGGTGAAGAAAAAATGAATATGTATTATTACAATTGCACATATTGTATGTGGGGTAGGTGCTCATATGTTCTTTGAACTTCAACCTACTCCTTTTGAGCAGCAAATATGTCAGTAATATATTTTGTTGTTGTTGTATAAATGTATTGTATGTTGCTCAAATAAAATAAATAAATAAAATAAATACGACAGTGCGTACCTCCAACCTATGCCTGTCATTTCCACCACATTCTGCCGCATAGCAATGAACATTGCTATGCGTAGTGAAGGCCATCAGTATATCCTGGTCCTCTGCGATTATGCCACATGGTCCCCCGAGGCTTTCCCCTTGCGCACCGTTACTGCCCCTGCTGTGCTGCGGTGTCTTGTGCAGTTTTTTTCCAGGGTTGGTGTCCCAGACAAGATCGTGACCGACCAGGGGACCAACGTCACCTCCCGACGGATGCAGCTCTTCCACCGCCTGCTGGGGATCTCTGCGATCAAGACCACCCCACGTGCCAGAGAGTGGAGCAAGAGGAGCAAGAAAAGAGAGGAGCGAGAAAAGGGAGGAGCGAGAAAAGAGAGGAGCGAGAAAAGAGAGGAGCAAGAAAAGAGAGGAGCGAGAAAAGCTAGGAGCGAGAGGAAGGTAGAGAGGAGCGAGAGGGGCGAGAAAAGAGAGGTGCGAGACGGGCGAGAGGAGCGAGTAAAGAGAGGCGCGAGAAAAGAGGGAGCGAGAAAAGAGAGAGGAGCGAGAAGAGGGAGGAGCGAGAAACGAGAGGAGAGAGAGGAGCGAGAAGAGAGAAGGGCGAGAAGAGAGAGGAGCGAGAAGAGCGAGCGGAGCGAGGAGCGAGAAGAGAGAGGGGCGAGAAAAGGGGAGCGAGAAAAGAGAGGAGAGAGAGGAGAGAGAGGAGTGAGAAGTGAGAAGGACGAGAAGAGAGAGGAGAAGAGAGAGGAGCGAGAAAAGAGGAGAGAGAGGAGCGAGAAGGGCGAGAAGAGAGAGGTGCGAGAAGGGCGAGAGGAGCGAGTAAAGAGAGGCGCGAGAAAGAGGGAGCGAGAAAAGAGAGAGGAGCGAGAAAAGGGAGGAGCGAGAGGATAGAGAAAAGAGAGGAGAGAGAAAAGAGAGGAGCGAGAGGAGCGAGAAAAGAGAGGAGCGAGAAAAGAGAGGAGCGAGAAAAGAGAGAGGAGCGAGAAAAGAGAGTGGAGCGAGAAAAGAGAGGAGCGAGAAAAGGGAGGAGTGAGAAAAAAGAGGAGCGAGAAAAGGGAGGAGCGAGAAAAGAGAGGTGCAAGAAAAGAGAGGAGCAAGAAAAGAGAGGAGCGAGAAAAGAGAGAGGAGCGAGAAAAGAGAGTGGAGCGAGAGGAGCGAGAAAAGGGAGGAGCGAGAAAAGAGAGGAGCGAGAGGAAGGTAGAGAGGAGCAAGAGGGGCGAGAAAAGAGAGGTGCGAGACGGGCGAGAGGAGCGAGTAAAGAGAGGCGCGAGAAAAGAGGGAGCGAGAAAAGAGAGAGGAGCGAGAGGTGAGCGGAGAGAGGAGCGAGAAGAGAGAGGAGCGAGAAACAAGAGGAGAGAGAGGAGCGAGAAGAGAGAAGAGCGAGAAGAGAGAGGAGCTAGAAGAGCGAGAAGAGAGAGGAGCGAGAAAGAGAGGAGAGAGAGGAACGAGAAGAGAGGAGAGAGAGGAGCGAGAAGAAAGAGGAGCGAGAGGAGCGAGAGGAGAGAGGAGCGAGAAAAGAGAGGAGCGAGAAGAGAGAGGAGTGAGAAGAGAGAGGAGCGAGAAGGAGAGGAGAGAGAGGAGCGAGAAGAGAGGAGAGAGAGGAGCGAGAAGAAAGAGGAGCGAAAGGCGCGAGAGGAGCGAGAAGAGAGAGGAGCGAGAAGAGATGAGCGAGAGGAGCGAGAAGAAAGAGGAGCGAAAGGAGCGAGAGGAGCGAGAAGAGAGAGGAGCGAGAAGAGAGAGGAGCGAGAAGAGAGAGGAGCGAGAAGGAGAGGAGAGAGAGGAGCGAGAAGAGAGGAGCGAGAAGAAAGAGGAGCGAGAAGAAAGAGGAGCGAGAAGAGAGAGGAGCGAGAAGAGATGAGCGAGAGGAGCGAGAAGAAAGAGGAGCGAAAGGAGCGAGAGGAGCGAGAAGAGAGAGGAGCGAGAAGAGAGAGGAGCGAGAAGAGAGAGAGAGAGAGACGAGAAGAGAGAGGAGTGAGAAGAGAGAGGAGCGAGAAGAGAGAAGAGCGAGAAGAGAGAGGAGCGAGAAGAGAGAGGAGCGAGAAGAGAGAGGAGTGAGAAGAGAGAGGAGCAAGAAGAGAGAGGAGCGAGAAGAGAGAGGAGCGAGAAGAGAGAGGAGTGAGAAGAGAGAGGAGCGAGAAGAGAGAAGGGCGAGAAAAGAGAGGAGCGAGAAGAGAGAAGGGCGAGAAGAGAGAGGTGCGAGAAGAGAGAGGTGCGAGAGGAGCGAGGCGAGAGAGGAGCGAGGCGAGAGAGGAGCGAGAGAGAGAGGAGCGAGAAGAGAGAGGAGCGAGAAAGAGAGGAGAGAGAGGAGCGAGAAGAGAGAAGAGCGAGAAGAGAGAGGAGCGAGAAGAGAGGAGAGAGAGGAGCAAGAAGAGAGGAGAGAGAGGAGCGAGAAGAGAGAGGTGCAAGAGAAGAGAGGAGCGAGAAGAGAGAGGAGCGAGAAGAGAGAGGAGAGAGAGGAGAGAGAGGAGCGAAAGGAGCGAGAGGAGCGAGAGGAGCAGAAGAGAGAGAAACGAGAGGAGAGAGAGGAGCGAGAAGAGAGAAGAGCGAGAAGAGAGAGGAGCGAGAAGAGAGGAGAGAGAGGAGCAAGAAGAGAGGAGAGAGAGGAGCGAGAAGAGAGAGGAGAAGAAAAGAGAGGAGCGAGAAGAGAGAGGAGCGAGAAGAGAGAGAAGAGAGAGAGAGAGGAGCGAAGGAGCGAGAGAGCGAGAGGAGAAGAAGAGAGAGGAGCGAGAAAAGAGAGGAGCGAGAAGAGAGAGGAGAGAGAAGAGAGAGGAGCGAGAAGGAGAGGAGAGAGAGGAGCGAGAAGAGAGAGAGAGAGAGGAGAGAGAAGAAAGAGGAGCGAAGAAGAGAGAGAGAGAGGAGAAGAGAGAGGAGAGAGAAGAAGAGAGGAGAGAGAAGAGAGAGGAGCGAGAAGAGAGAGGAGAGAGAAGAGAGAGGAGCGAGAAGAGAGAGAAGAGAGAGAGAGAGAGGAGCGAGAAGAGAGAAGAGCGAGAAGAGAGAGGAGAGAGAAGAGAGGAGAGAGAGGAGAAGAAGAGAGGAGAGAGAGGAGAGAGAAGAGAGAGAGAGAAGAGAGAAGAGAGGAGAGAAGAGAGAGGAGCGAGAAGAGAGAGGAGCGAGAAGAGAGAGGAGAGAGAGAGAGAGAAGAAGAGAGAGGAGAAGAAGAGAGAGAGAGAAGAGAGGAGAGAGAAGAGAGAGGAGCGAGAAGAGAGAGGAGAAGAGAGAGGAGAGAGAAGAGAGAGGAGAGAAGAGAGAAGAGAGAAGAGAGAGAGAGAGAAGAGAGAGGAGAGAGAAGAGAGAAGAGAGAGAGAAGAGAGAGAGAGAAGAGAGAGGAGAGAGAAGAGAGAGGAGAAGAAGAGAGAGGAGAGAGAAGAGAGAGGAGAGAGAAGAGAGAGAGAGAGAGAAGAGAGAAGAGAGAGAGAAGAGAGAAGAGAGAGAGAAGAGAGAAGGAGAGAAGAGAGAGGAGAGAGAAGAGAGAGGAGAGAGAGAAGAGAGGAGAGAGAAGAGAGAGGAGAGAAGAGAGAGAGAGAGAAGAGAGAAGAGAGAGAAGAGAGAGAGAGAGAGAGAAGAGAGAGGAGAGAAGAAGAGAGGAGCGAGAAGAGAGAAGAGAGAGAAGAGAGAAGAGAGAGAAGAGAGAGAGAAGAAGAGAAGAGAGAGAGGAGAGAGAAGAGAGAAGAGAGAGAGAGAGAGAAGAGAGAGGAGAAGAGAGAAGAGAGGAGAGAGAAGAGAGAGAAGGAAGAAGAGAGAGAGAAGAGAAGAGAAGAGAAGAAGAGAAGAAGAGAGGAGAGAGAAGAAGAGAGAGAAGAGAAGAGAGAAGAGAGAGAGAAGAAGAGAGAAGAGAGAGAAGAGAAGAGAAGAGAGAGAAGAGAAGAGAGAGAAGAAGAGAGAAGAGAAGAGAGAGAGAAGAAGAAGAGAGAAGAGAGAGAGAAAGAGAAGAGAGAAGAAGAGAGAGAAGAAAGAGAGAGAAGAGAAGAGAAGAGAGAAGAGAGAGAAGAGAGAGAGAAGAGAAGAGAGAGAAGAAGAGAGAAGAGAGAAGAGAGAAAGAGAAGAGAAGAAGAGAGAGAGAAGAAGAAGAGAAGAGAGAAGAGAGAAGAGAAGAGAGAGAAGAGAGAAGAGAGAAGAGAGAGAAGAGAGAAGAGAAGAAGAGAGAGAAGAGAAGAGAGAAGAAGAGAAGAAGAGAAGAGAGAGAAGAGAGAAGAGAGAGAAGAGAGAGAGAGAAGAGAGAAGAGAAAGAGAGAGAGAAGAAGAGAGAAGAGAGAAGAAGAGAGAAAGAAGAGAAGAGAAGAAGGAGAGAGAAGAGAGAGAAGAGAAGAGAAGAGAGAGAGAAGAGAGAGAAGAAGAGAGAAGAGAAGAAGGAGAGAAGAGAAGAGAAGAGAGAGAGAAGAGAAGAGAGAGAAGAAGAAGAGAAGAGAAGAGAAGAGAAGAAGAGAGAAGAAGAGAAGAGAGAAGAAGAGAGAGAGAAGAGAGAAGAGAGAGAAGAGAGAGAGAGAAGAAGAGAGAAGAAGAGAGAAGAAGAGAAGAGAAAGAAGAGAGAAGAGAGAAGAAGAGAAGAAGAGAAGAGAGAGAGGAGAAGAGAGAAGAAGAGAGAAGAGAGAGAAGAGAAGAGAAGAGAGAAGAAGAGAGAAGAGAGAGAAGAAGAGAGAAGAGAGAAGAGAAGAGAGAAGAGAGAGAAGAAGAGAAGAGAGAGAGAAGAGAGAGAGAAGAAGAAGAAGAGAGAAGAGAGAGAAGAGAGAGAAGAGAGAAGAGAGAGAGAGAAGAGAGAGAGAAGAAGAGAGAAGAAGAGAGAGAAGAGAAGAGAAGAGAAGAGAGAAGAAGAGAAGAAGAAGAGAGAAGAGAGAAGAGAGAAGAGAGAGAAGAAGAGAGAAGAGAGAAGAGAAGAAGAGAGAGAAGAGAGAAGAGAAGAGAAGAGAGAAGAGAGAAGAGAGAGAAGAAGAAGAGAAGAGAGAAGAGAGAGAGAGAAGAAGGAAGAAGAGAAGAGAAGAAAGAGAGAAGAGAAGAAGAGAAGAGAAGAGAAGAGAGAAGAGAGAAGAGAGAAGAGAAGAGAGAAAGAGAAGAAGAGAGAGAAGAGAAGAGAGAGAAGAGAAGAGAAAGAGAGAAGAGAAGAGAAGAAGAGAGAAGAAGAAGAGAGAGAAGAGAAGAGAGAAGAGAAGAGAAGAGAGAAGAGAAGAGAGAAGAGAGAGAAGAGAGAGAAGAGAGAGCAGAAGAGAAGAAGAAGAGAAGAGAAGAGAGAAGAGAAGAGAGAGAAGAGAAGAAGAAGAAGAGGAAGAGAAAGAGAAGAGAGAGAAGAGAGAAGAGAAGAGAGAGAAGAAGAGAGGAGAGAAGAGAGAAGAAGAAGAGAAGAGAAGAGAGAGAAGAAGAGGAAGAGAGAGAAGAGAAGAGAAGAGAGAGAAGAGGAAGAGAGAAGAGAAGAGAAGAGAGAAGAAGAGAAAGAGAGAAGAAGAGAGAAGAAGAAGAGAAGAGAAGAAGAGAAGAGAGAGAAGAGAGAAAGAGAGAAGAGAGAGAAGAAGAAGAGAGAAGAAGAGAAGAAGAAAGAGAGAGAAGAGAAGAGAGAGAAGAGAAGAGGAGAAGAGAAGAGAAGAAGAGAGAGAAGAAAGAAGAGAGAGAAGAGAAGAGAGAAGAGAAGAAGGAGAAGAGAGAGAAGAGAAGAAGAGAAGAGAGAGAAGAAAGAGAGAGAGAGAGGAAGAAGAGAAGAGAAGAGAGAGAGAAGAGAAGAGAGAAGAAGAAGAGAGAGAAGAGAAGAGAAGAAGAGAGAAAGAGAGAGAAGAGGAGAGAAGAGAAGAGAGAAGAAGAAGAGAAGAGAGAGAAGAAGGAGAGAAGAGAAGAAGAAGAGAGAAGAAAGAAGAAGAGAAAGAGAGAAGAAGAGAGAGAGAAGAGAAAGAAGAGAGAAGAGAGAAGAA